TATACATCTTCTGAAAGCTGAATAAATAATCTTTCCATTGATGTATGGTTTGTTAGGATAGGACAATATTTGGCTGAGATACAACTATTTGAAAATCTGGAATCTGAGGGTGCAAAATAATCTAAATATTGAGAAAATCATCTTTAAAGTTGTTCAAATGAAGTTCTTACCAATGCATATTACTAATCAAAAATTAAGTTTTGATATATTTATGGTATAAAATTTACAAAAAAAATATCTTCATGGAACATGATCTTTACTTAATATCCTAATGATTTTTGGCATCAAAGAAAAATGGAAAATTTTGTTGGCTATTGCTACAAATATACCTGTGCTACTTATGACTGCTTTTGTGCTCCAGGGACACATATTATAAGACAATGAAAGTGTTTTTTGACCTTGCATGCATGACAACCTGTTGCTGGGGACTAGTAGGGGCACTTTAATACAAAAATGCACACAATGAATGGCGTTTATAGAAAGCAAAGGCTGAATCCTGGACATTTTGGGCGATTTAGAAATTTTTTAAGGTCCAAAAAGAGAACATGTCCGGGGTAAAGAAGACGTATGGTTACCATAGCAACTGTCCTAGCCCTCTGTTCTCTGTACTTCAATCAGCAGGAAGTGATTTCATCCTGACGAGTAAAATGAAGCCCAGCGGATTGTGGAATTCACCCGTCTCTGAGGAATATCCCATGAACGCCGAAGCCCAGAGTTTGGACGCGTCTCCTCTGGAATCAGGCGAGCGATATGAAATCCGTCGGCCGGATCCGAGCGCGCAGCACCACGTGGAGGAAGCGTACAGAACGGGCGAGCGTGCGAATCCATCAGCGGCGGAGAGGAGCTCACGCTGCCCTCAGTGCGGAAAGACCTTCACCACGCGCTTCTACCTGAAGATCCACCAGCGCATCCACACCGGAGAGAGACCCTACACCTGCCCGCAGTGCGGAAAAGGCTTCTACTGTAACTCACACCTGATCTCACACCAGCGCTCGCACACCGGAGAGAAACCCTACAGCTGCGAGGAGTGCGGCAAGTCCTACTCGCACTTAAACTCACTCAAACTACACCAGCGCAGCCACACCGAAGAAGAGGCGTATGCGTACTGGTGATTCATGAAATGCCACGACTTCGTTTGACAATTCGTCACATATTTTGTATGATAAATTATAAAACAACATTGCTTTGTTTTATATACTGCCTTTTTTTGAGTAGCTGGTCAACAGAGTACTTTTATATCCTTTTTTTAATCTATTTGTTAAACATTGTCTGATACATAAAAAGCATTGCATTTATATGTAAATTAGTGCTGTCAAATGATTAATCGCGATTAATTGCATCCATAATAAAAGTTTTTGTTTACATAATATAGCCTATGTGTGTGTACTGTGTATATTTATTATGTATATTACATATTTACATGTCTATATATTTATATTCTTAAAATGTATTGTATACATATTTAATTTATAAACAATGTAAACAAAAACTTTTATTTTGGATGCGATTAATCGTTTGAAAGTACTACATTTTTTCATTTTTTTTATAACCTGTAAAGCCTGTGCTATGCTGTTTTGCTGTATTTTTTGTTTGTGTGGGTTATTTAATATGGGAGCACCATTTTGCTATTGACAATAAAAATCCATGACTTTCTGATGGATATGATGGATAAAGTCCTCTCGTGTCTTAATGGATCATTGGGAGGGAGAGCTGTAATTTACACTGTTATGTATTGTGTGTGTTTGTTTCTGTGTGGTTTGTCTGATCTGCAGATTCATTTGCGTTGTGTAACTCTGTAAACTCAAGGCTTTCTAATGAATGTCAGAGAGGAAAGAATTTATATAAATCAAATAAAATAATATAGAGATGCTCACGCCAACAACTGTAATATTTCTGCTGATGAATAACCCAAAAATAAATTAAATTGAATTAAATAAAATGTAATACAGAGATGTTCAAGCAACAGTACTATGTTCAGTAAAAATCAAATAACAAAAAAATAGAGTAAATAAAAGAATAAATAAAGTTAAAATAAAATTGAATATAGAGATACTCAAACTAACAACAGTAGTATGTCCAATAATAAACAAAGGTACTGATCAATAATAAATAATCAAATTAAATTAATAAATAAAATTAATGTAGAGATACTCATACTAACAGCAGAAATATTTTCAAAAATAAACTAATAATAAATACCCATTCTTAAATAAATAAATCTTAATACAGAGTTGCTCAAACAACAGTTGTGTTCAATAATAAAATCAAATAAAACCAATCCAAATTTAATTTAATAAAGAGATGCTTAAACTAACAACAGTACTATGTGCAATACTAAATAATAAAGAAACAATCCAATAATTAATAAAATTTAAATAAAATTAATACAGAAATTCTCAAACAGCAATATGTCCAATATTGCTATAAGAAATATAAATTAAATGAATAAAATAAAACTTAAAGAGATTCTCAAGCTAACGACAGTATTACGCCCAGTAATAAATAAATAATCCAATGACTTTTATTTTGACGGATGTTTCCCCAACGCTCCAGTCCACCGGAAACACGCCCCCTTATCTGGATTATGATGAGTTTCTATGTCTAGTAATATAAGCGCAGAGTGTTCGAGCAGCGAGATGAGCTCGGCAGCGAGGTTACAGACGCAGGTCTCCGCGATCATGGACGTGCTGGCGAAGGCGGCGGTGGCGGAGATCAGTCAGCTGCTGGAGGAAGACTCTTCATCAGGAGATCCGGAGGAGATCCGGGGACTGAAGACGCGACTGCTGCTCACTGAGAGCGAACTACAGAGAGTCGCTGCAAACAGATGCTCCATCGGAGTACAGGTGGAGATCGTGGACACGAGTGAGCCTGCAGTCCTGCTGGGTGTGTGTTTTATTTAATTACATACATATACATATATATATACATATATACACACACACACATACATTATATACATATATATACATATATATATATATATATATATAGAGGAGCATCAATGAAGAGGAGCTCGGCGGCCTGGAGTTTGAGATGAAGATCGAACAGGTGGAGGAACTTGTTGATCAGAAGCTGAATCAAGTTCAAGCAGAGCAGAAGAACGAAACCCGTCGGGAAGATGGAAACTCGTGGCGTTGGAAAGCGTTCGACGATCCGGAGAGTCTGATAGAGCAACGACCCCAGATGCTTCCAGATTCGAACGTGATGATGGAGGATCCGGCGGCGCAGGCTTCATCTGGTTTGTTCTTTTTCGGCTTTGGCGCTTCTGGAGACGCTGAGTACGGATTGAATCTTCCTCGACAGGAATGCTCATCCGGATCCGGCGACTCCGCGGCGTTCTCGTTCTCGCGGCCCAAACCGTTCCGCTGTGAGGAATGCGGGAAGGGCTTCATGCAGCGGATGCGTTTGATCACGCACAGACGAGTGCATACAGGCGAGAAACCCTTCCACTGTCAGTTGTGCGGGAAAACCTTCTCCAGACAGGACAACTGTCTCCGGCACGTGCGCCTGCACAGCGGACAGAGATGAAGAACGCCGATCCCAACGCTTTGTCTCAAAGTGAGATTTCTGCATATTGTAACTAGGGCTGCACAATAAATCGAAATTAAATCGCTACGATTGTCATGCGCATCTTGTCAGTGAAGCACGGTTCTGTGATCAGTAGTAAATCTCCATCCGAAGGCCAGCCAACCTAAAGAGAAGAAATCCAGGAAATCCCTATAGCGGTAGCTGAATAAACAGAAGATTTAACTGCTTTCATTGATTCAGCGTGACTAATAAACACATGACTACAACAATATATGACCCTGGACCACAAAACCAGTCATGAGGGTCAATTTTTTTAAATTGAGATTTATACATCATCTGAAAGCTGAATAAATAAGCTTTCCATTGATGTATGGTTTGTTAGGATAGGACAATATTTGGCCGAGATACAATTATTTTTGAAAATCTGGAATCTGAGGGTGCAAAAAAATCTAAATATTGAGTTCAGATTTGGCCGTCAAAAAGTGGCCCAAGTTTTACTAAAGATGTTAACAGTTGATTCACTAAGTTCCTGTAGAGAGCATCTTTAATATCAAACCTGTATTGATGAATATGACTTGATATATGTCATTTATAGTGCTGTTAATGTTTTTAATGTTCTTTCAGTAATTCCACATTCACATTACTGCCTCACATTTAGGTTTTTTCTCATTAAACACTCTTATATTCAGATTTATTAACAGCTTCATTTATTGTCTGTTCTGATGACCTCGCTGTCATCGCAAGTATTCATGCAAGAAAAATACGTTATGTGCATTTAAATATGATTGTAAATCCTATTGATGCATTTAACTTGGAAATACATCAAATTATGGGAGTAAAATGAGCTGCAAATGTGGTTTCATGTTGACTTATGAAGTCTTATTGTATTTGTTTAGAGTGTGTTTCAGAAAAACACATGAGCTCATGATCTGATATGACGCTTCGATTTCTTAGCAGCTGGAAAGGAAATCATTGTTTGCTGGCTTTATTTTTATGAACAAAAGCTGAGAAGTTGAACACAATGATCTGATTAAGTTATGTTATTTTAGTGCCATTTTTAAATAACAACAACCAACCAGCAATAAGAGTAAGACAGATTATTCTTGCTTTTTTATTTATCTTCCTAAAACAGTGTTTCCCTTTCGAACATTCACTTCACGTTGTGTATGGGGGTAAACTCCTGTTTACTCTGTTACTGAAGCCAATGGTGCTTTAGCCCGCCGGAAAGGGTGGAGCCAACATGTATATAAGTCGGCTCGCAGCGCCATTTCATCAGAATCTTCTCCTTCAGCGACGAGCCCGAAGCCCTCCCTTCATCCCAACCATCGCGGCCAAAATCGGACAGCGAGCTGATCCGTGTTCTCTCCAAGGCGGTGTAGGATCTGGGTGTCGAGTGGTCGGCTCCAGATGAGCCTGCCCATGGCCTTTTAGATTAGTGGTTCCTGCTGGGACGCCGTCAGCCGCCTTTCCGCCAGCGGCACGCCCCATTCTTGCCTGCGGTTCACGAAGAACTGACCAAGACGTAATGCGCCCCCTATTCGGCCCGAGTTAGCTCCTCCTCCTCTGCAGCTCTCACCACCGTTGACGGTGCTGAGGAAAAAGGCTATAGCAAGCTCCCACCTCTGGAGGAGGCGGTAGCTGCTCACTTGTGTCCGCTATCCGCCCTGGGATTTAAGGCCTATGCAGCGCATCCCTCGAAGCCCTGCAGGACCACTTTGGCTCTGGCCAACAGGGCATATGCAGCGGCCGTTCAGGCCGGATCGGCCTGGCAGCTATCGCGAATCATTCCCTCGAAGCTGGCCACTCGATCGGCAGAAACGATCTGATCGTTAAGTTCTTGAAGGGCGCCCGGAGATTAAACCCTTCTCGTCCTCAGACTGTACTGATCTGGGATTTGTCAATAGTCCTTAGGGCCCTACGGGGTCCTCCCTTCGAGCCACTACATTCAGCCGAACTACGCCCTTTCTCGCTGAAAACCACTCTACTACTGGCACTAACATCGGTCAAGCGAGTGTGTGACTTACAAGCACTGTCAATCAGTGCTTCCTGTCTGGAGTTTGGACCTAGTGACTGTGAAGTCGTCCTCAAGCCTAGACATGGATATGTTCCGAAGGTGCTCTCAACTCCGTTCAGAGCCCAGGTAATTACCCTTCTGGCGCTCCCCGCTGCAGATGGTGAGCAGGGTCCCATTGTTCTCTGCCCCGTCAGGGCCCTGAGAATATATCTTGAACGCTCCAGCCTGTTCAGACAGTTGCTCTAAGGGGCTGTCGGTTACAAAGCAAAAACTATCCCGCTGGATAATTGATGCTATAGCCTTGGCTTATGCCTCAGAAGGTTTGCAATGCCCCATAGGTGTGAGGGCCCACTCCACTAGAGGAATGGCCTCCTCCTGGGCTTGGTCCAGCGAAATCTCTATTGGTGAGATATGTGCGGCCGCCGGCTGGCCGACGCCGTCCACGTTTGCCAGATTCTACAGCCTAGATGTCCCTGCTCCCCAGGCACAGATTTTATCGCCTTAAACTGCTTATTTCTCCCTATGGTGGAAATAGCTATGTCCAAAGTCCTCAGCTACACTCAGGACTCAGTTGGCTCATGTTCTCTAGGGGCCCTTAACATAAGTGCTCCAGAACTGGGCTTGCAGAGCGGCTTAGTCTGCTTCTGCTCATAGCACGGCGTGATTGGATTGGTTCCCCATACACAATGTGACATGAACGTTTGAAAGGGAACGCTCCGGTTACTAACGTAACCTCGGTTCCCTGAGATAAGGGAACGAGCGTTGTCACTTGCCGTGCTATAAGCTGCACACGAATCGATGACCGTCGCTTCAGTCGAATGATTCTGATGAAATGGTGCTGCGAGCTGACTTGTATACACGTTGGCTCCACCCTTTCCGGCGGGCTAAAGCACCATTGGTTTGTGCAGCTACACAAACGTGAACAAATCAGGCTTCAGTAACAGAGTAAACAGGAGTTTACCCCCATTCACAACACTCGCTCCCTTATCTCAGGGAACTGAGGTTACGTTAGTAACCGGAGCATTTACATGTTCAAGTTAATGATATGTATTTGTCCGAGTTAGTGGCTTTATTTGGTTGCAACAAAACACAATGATTCAATCAAACTGTTTTTAGTGGCTACGTTTTTATTTTCCTTCCTTCCTTTCTTTTTTTCTTGCTTGCTTGCTTTTAATTTTTATTTTTTTAATAACCAACCAGCATTAAGTCAGTTGTTTTTCTTTTTTCTTTTTCTTCCTTAAACAGTATTTTACAGTTTCATGTTATTTAATTGTCTGAGTTGTTTGGTGGATTTAAACTGTTTTCAGCTGCAAAATGCATTTTTTTAAACAACAACCATCCAGTACTAAGACAAATTCTTTTAAATAATATTATTATTTAATTCATTTTTCTTCCTAATACAGCTGTTTTACAGGTTCAGGTTCTGTAATTGTCCAAGTTGTTTGCTGGCTTTATGAACAAAAGCTGAGAAGTTAAACACAAAGATCTGATTAAACGGTTTTAGGGGCAAAATGTTTTTATTAATAACATCCCACCAGCAATACAGGTTTTTACAGGTTCAAGTTATTTAACGTAATTGTCGTGGCTTTATTTTTATGACCAAAAGCTGAGAAGTTGAACATAATGATCTAATCAAATGCTGTCTTTTTTATTATTTATTCCTCTAAAACAGTGTATTAATGATATGTACACTACCAGTCAAAAGTTTTTGAACGGTATGATTTTAATGTTTTTTAAAGAGTTCTCTTCTGCTCACCAAGCCTGCATGTATTTGATCCAAAATACAGCAAAAGCAGTAATACTGTGAAATATTTTGACTATTTAAAATAACTGCTTTCTATTTTAATATATTTAAAAATGTAATTGATTACTGTGATCAAAGCTTTTTTTTTTTTTTTTTTTTTTTGACTGGTATAGTGTAATTGTCTCTGTTTTATTAGAAGACGTTTCACAACAGGTAGAGCGTCTCCGAGCTTTCCTTCGGTGTTATTTGCTCGAGTTGAACCGAGTGACGGCGTGACGGACCGTGAGCTTCCCGTCTGAGAGGAGCTGAGGCTGGGATCGGATCTCTGCACTCGTTCCTCACGGAAACACCGGGAAGAGGAGGCAAGAATCCGCCGTGAGCTCTCGCCTGCTCTCTTGCCTTCTTTCTGTTCGCCGCGTGGAGCTCGTGAAGCCCGTCGGGAGGCGCCAGCAACAGCGAACTGCTCCTGTAGACGGAAGGGAACCTCGAAGTGCAGGGATCCCGGTGCAAGTGAGTGTCGGATCCGGACAGTGTGAGTTTAAGGGCCGGCGGCTGAAGAAGATCCGGAAGCGTGTTTCTTCTGCTCTGCAGCTGCTCTGATTCGGGTTTAAACTTCAAATCTATTTTTTAGAAACAGGATGGGTTAACGTGGAACAGGACTCTGTACCAAATACCCCTTTGTCGGCACTAGCCTCCCAGATGAAAAAAAAGTGCACTTCCATAATGTACTTCTAGTGCTTTATTTTTGCTCACTAATTTTGTACTTAATATCATCTTTTGAAAGTAGCATCCCACCTAGAGGGTAGAAACTCAGGGTTATCTGCTATGGACATAGCTCTAAGGTTGCCACTCCTCTTAGTTTTTTTCTCTCTCAGAGTTTGCTTATCTCAAATATTTTTTTATTTTCATCTTTTTCTGAGATTGGGGTGTCATAAACCCTAGGTTTCACAGACAGGGCTTAGCTTAAGCCAGGATTAGGCCGTAGTTAAATTAAGACATTTAAGCAGCTTTTATAAAAATGCCTTAGAATGAAACGTTTCAGGTGTGCATCTTGAGGCAGAACAATGTCACTGACATATTTTAGAATAAGTCAAACTCAACAGCTCAAACATGCATTTTAGTCTAGGACTAGCCTTAAGCCTTGTCTGTGAAATCGGGGGACTATCTTTGTATTTAAAAAATGTATTTAGTCACCACTTGAAAGATGGATTCAAGTGGTGACTAAAGAAGAAATCTGTTGTTGTAACTCACAGGTGGGAAGAGAACACCCGTCCTCTTGGTTTTCCTCCTCGTCTGAGTTTTTCTCATAGCTCTGGCTGAGATGCACCAGGTTTTGGA